TGCGAGCCCTTGTTGTGGCCACAAAGCCTGCCAGCTGCCAAGGAGATAGGTGCAGGGAGAGTCTGGGTTCTGGGGTCCTGTACCCCTAGGTGCTGACAGGCAAAACTCGTGACACGGGTGCTTGTGCAACTGTCTCTCTCTTAGGGCGCAGGGGGTGAAAAAAACTACTGCATGCCTGCTAGGCCCTGCCGTGGCTATGAAGCCTGCCAGCTGTCAAGGCGATAGGTGCAGGGGGGTTCTGGGGCCCTGCACCTCTGGTTGCAGGCAGGCAAAACTCGTGACATGGGTGGGTGACACTGTGTGTGTGTTCAGGTGCGCCCTTCCTGGTGCTGGGGCTCCTGCACAACACGGCAGCGTGCCTCACTGAGGTCTTCTCCTCCCCTACAGCCTCAGGCCATTCCACCACTGTAAACGGCAGCAGGTAAAAATAATGTAGGTGACACAGCACCAGCAGCATCTAAGGTAGCCAAACTGAACTTTCACAGAGCCTTTCTTTTTATAAAGGAATTGACAGCAAGAAGTAAAGATGTGTTGGATATATGTTACTCGTGGTGTGTGATGGTTTATCTTGTGTTTTTATGTTTATATGTTTATTATGAAACAAAACGGCATAGTTAGAGAAATATATCTTAGGAAGCTTTCAGGTTGAAAAACCCTTTGTGAGGCTGAGGAAGTACCTGCAGTTGGTGTGTCTCCTGGTCCTGGATGGAAGGAATAGTAAAGAAGCCAGAGGCTGGTCTGGCATGCAATGCAGACAAGAAGGCCAGTCAGTGAAAACGGAAATGGAGGGGTCATGGGGTGAGGGACAGGCTGGGGGGTGTGTGTGTGTGTGTGGGGGGGGGGGGGGGGGGGGGGGGGAGAAAGCCCCAAAAAAAGCCATAATATTCATAAATATGCCATTGCCAATGATTCTATGCCAGAAACAAGAACCATCACCAAAAACATGAGGACTTGTTCATGAATAAACCACAATATTTTTTCTTCATTTCAAAAGAAAATAAAGGCAGTCTATTTTTAAAAAGTTAGATAAATCAATTAAGTCTGTAAATAAGGTACACAATGCCTCAAGCTTATTTTCTAAGCTGAAAATTGTTTAAGAAGAAATCCCATAAATAGTTTCCAGGGACTTTCCCCATGTTATTTCAGAAAAAAAGGTCTATACATTAGGTTGCGCAGGATTAAGTTCTTAGGCCAGATTCTTCATTACAGTTGCTTTGTGATCATATCTTCACTAGAGCCTTAACTGATGTAAAGGCTTGGAGAATCAGTTTTAATCATGAAGGTCAAATAAACTGCTGTCAAAGATAGCAAGATAGAAAGAGCTAGTAGAAAAATGTCTCTCTGCTCACCACCAAAATGCATGTAGGTTGTCAGCAAAAACCATATTAAAAATCTATTTTTACAAAAAATAATATATATTTTTTCATTGAAACTTTTCAACAAAAGTTGATGTGGTACTATGGGACTCCCACATCTCTGAAGTAAATGGGCATTCCCCAACTGGTTTCAATGAGTACATGATCTGTCCATTAGCATATGAAGCAGAACCCCCTAATGGATAAAAATTTATATGTCAATATGGGGAGACACTATTTGCTTTGTGGTTTATCATTAGATTTGAAAGATTTACTATTGTCATTAGAATTTATCTCAAGTTAAACCATCTAGAGATTAACAGTTCCTTTTAATTCCTAATTTGGTACATATAAGGCATTTAGATTCTATGATTAGCCAGCATGAGGATATTTTTAATACTAAGGTATATATTTTTGCAACGACTCAAGAGAGGAAGAGGGATTCCTCTGGTTATATAAAAGGATAAGACCTTGAACTATCTGGAGCAACAAAACTTATT